GCGGGGGTAGTTGGTTGGCCCCGATCGGTTTGCGCCTGTTTCAGACTTCCCGGGGAGTGGAGTGACTTTGACAGCGTTAAAACGCCAGAGCGCAATGTCTGATTCTTTAAAGAACCCGAGGTCCTTTATTTTTTCTGCGCTCCTTTCTCCAGCATAGACCTGCAGAAGGAGTTTCATCGTGCTCTGGTATTAATTATGAATGTCAGGGAGAAGTTCTGTCTCTGAGAAGCGCAGGAGTTTGTGATCGTTATTGCTGTCCCGGGTAGACAGAATATGGGGAAAAGTCAGGGAGATGCTTGTCATTTGCCTGGACAGAAAATGAAAGTGCCCAGGTCTTTTAGGGACTCTCGCTGTAAATGCTTGATGCGTTATTTACCACTAGTGGGGGGAAAAGAATGCCTTAGAGTCAAGGCATATAAAAACCTAAAAATCTACAGTTGCTATGTTGTAATGATAATTAGATTTGAAAAAGGGGGTGTTAAGGTTCCCATCCCTGAATTATCGTTGGTGCAGGTTTGGGAAGGCTTTCTGTGCATCCATCTCATAATATCGCAGGGTGCTGAGTGCACTGGAAACAAGAGGCTTGAGCTACCCAAAGTGTCTCTGTTTCCTAACAGTATCTGGTGGTCTGATAGAAGAAGGTATTACTTGTGCTCCTGTAAGAGTTAATGGTGCTTTATAGGGACACTACTAAGCAAACTGCAGGAGAATAACAGCAGTCTCTGGGGGAAACTGCCTTGGCCTAATTAATAACGAGATTTAAATCCCACTGGATCAAAAATGAAAATATTTCCTAGTGGGTATATCCGGAGCCTTAGTACGGGAAGGAAAGATAAGTACTGCTGATGAAACACAACTGCAAGTTTGTTTGTTTGTTCTTCCTCTAGCATTTAAAGTTCTAGATATAGAATTTGGCCCTAAATTTATGTTGGCAAAGAAAATTTTATCATTATCTTTATAGAAATGCTAGAAAATTCAAGTAGTGAATTAAGTTGCTGTTTCTCTTGTGGCTTTAGTGCCATGGACTTTTAAGAAGCTTTCATCTTTGTCAAGACATAAATAAGCCCAGACAAAACATAATGATGTGTTGTTTGTGCGTGAGGAATAAAAAAAAGATAAAAATATATTTGTCTAGTCATTAGTATTAAGTGTAAGAGCTGTTCATCTAGGAATTATATTTTGTGTCTGTTCTAGTGCAGAAAATAGACTTTCCAACCTGAATGATTATTCTTTTTTTGAGCAATAGATAAGAATATGAATTGAATTACATAATTCCTTTGTTTTGTTTCCTAAAATATTTAGGATATGCAAATACTGATTATTAATATTTTCCTGTATTTCTAGATATTTCCCTAAAATATTTTAGGAAATGAAACATGGGAAATTCTTGTGTGTCTGAAGTACACTGCTTTCCCTTCCACTCACATCAGACTGACTGTCTTTGCAGGTGCTTTAGTTTGGACTCTGTTCCTCTGTCACAAAATTGTTAAAGAATGGAACTGCCTTTCTTGTCTTGAAGCACTATGATGTTCTGTTTATGGCGAATTCTAACTGTGGCTGTGCTTTGCTGTTTTAAGGTTTCTTACTACATTTTGACTTTGTTTGTTTTGTTTAAGGAAATTTGTTTGGGGATGGGATTTTTCTGTTTCTGTTTTGCGTCTTTGTGGGGAACAGGGGGTGGAACACAAGGGTTGAGACGCTCTCATTTCTGGCTTTCTGCAGGATCCAGGTATTTTTAGCTCTTTGAACCTATATAATTTCCAAATCTCTCTACTACATGTGCTTTAACTTTTATGATCCCAATTCTGGCTTATATGGATGATATTCAGAGAGGTTAGCTATGTGCTTGGAAGTGAGTGTTCTACCTTGCGTGACTGGATTCAGGCCAGGGCTGCTGAAGTAAACCGATTTTTGCATGTAAATGTTTTACCAGCTTGTTGAACTCACCTGATATATCTGCTTCTTGAAATCTGTCCCATGTTCTGAGCATGTTTCACTCTTGCTATTGAGCAATGATAAACTCCTATTTATGTAAAACAATTTGAGTGATATTTTACATGCCTCTGTGACCTTATAGTTTGCCTGATAAATAGTCAGCTCTTACTAGGCGATAGTGAAGGTAAAGAAAAGACACGCAGGTGCAGAGTCCCTTTCTTGTCTCAAAGCTCCAAAGGGGATTTCGCCAGGAATTTTTGGAGCTGCTGCTTCTGCCCAGCTTCAGGTGTGTACCTAGTATATTCACAACTGAGAATATTTTAATTATTTTTTTCTCATTTTTACAAAATAAGAGGACAGTAGAAAGAGATTATTGATCTCTTTGTTATTTTTATTGATCAATTATTAATCTCTGTGTAATCTGCCAGATTGCTTGCTTATGTTATGCTCATACTGCCATTATCCTGTTTTCTCCTTTCCTCACCACTGCTGTTTGTTGTTCATTTCATCTCTCCTGTTGCATTTGAGTATCAGCTGGGATCTTAAACTGTTTGAGAAACTCTTTCAGAAATAATATTCTGGCTTCTCACTAATTAATTTCCTCTTGTGTAACACTCCCCTATTTTTTTTCCTCCATGCTTTCTTCAGGCCCTAACTTTCCAAAATCTTTTTCCTTTGCAATTTTTGGCATGCTCTGCTCATTTCTCTCTGCCTCTAATTTCTTAGTTTCCTTATCTACTTTTATGCTTCTTACAGTTTTGCAAGTGCATTTGGGTCACCACTCAGCAAAGAGGCTTGATCTGGTGGGATTTTTTTTATTTGATTGTTATCCCTCTTGATGAGGGAGAGAAAAAGTAAAATCCTGAGTTTACTCTTTTTTTTTTTTTCTGCTCTTAGTAGGATAAAGGTGGAAAGAGGAAAAGCCAGCGGAGTAGTAGAGAGTAGAAAGTGTGAAATGGCAGTAGATAACTAAGAGGGGATACTGCAGAGAGGTGTATAATGGAGGAGTGGTTAGGACACTCAAACTCATCTACTAGTTAATCTGACAAGAAAAGTTTAAGTTAGTGGTGCCAGCTGGTCAGATATTTTCAGACCAGCTGAGATTTGAGGCTTGTATAAGCAGCGCATTATGTTTGTAATAGGAGGACTCAAGTTTGTTCTTAAGTTTTATTCGTGATTGTTCAGTAAACAAAGTACTTGCATAAGAATAACACCCTTTTTGAGCAACTTGGAGCTAGTATTTTTAATGCAGCTTTGTATCCTGTTAAAACAGCACAACTCCTTGCATGTTCAGTAGAAGCAAATGTGAATAAAACCAGCTACATATTTAGTACAACTCTGTGAAACTGCAATACTCAGCACATTCTGTGGAAGATAAGACCTTTAGCTTTTACAGCTTAGAACTACACTTTTGCTCATTTTTGCATGAGATGGGAATGTTTCAGCTCTGTTCCAACTGGGGACTCCTGTCACAGAAGAGCAACCAGGGCTATTGCTTTTCTGTGAAATCTTAACATCACTTCTCTTCCTGCTTCTTTTCACAACGTGCTTCTAAGGCAAAATGGATGAAGAGTTTGTGCTTCTGCTCTCAGCCCTGTCCATTTACTGAGAAAGGGAGGAGATACGTAAAAGAGTACAGAATATGATCAAGGTTATTTGACAACATGCGGTATATTTTGTTTGCTGGGGAGAGAGCTGTACGCTTGAGCAAGTTACAAAAGCCCTGGAGGAATGACCCAGTATGACATGTTTACTGAGAGTGGGTAAAGGTTAATCTTTTTTTGCTATAGGTAGGCACAAAGGTGAATGTTTGATATAAGGGAGGTTGTAAAATGGCCAAATCTGGGATGAAAGGTAAGGGAGAGCAAGGGAGAATTCTTTGGGGATGGGAGGAAGGTGCATGAAAATAGAGGTCAGGTCATGTTCACATAGGGAGGGGAGAGGTTGGGATTAGGAATGAATAAATTTAGAATATAGGTGGTAAATAAAGATCTTGGGAGAGTTACCATAGTGGGACTGAGCAGACCACTGAAAGACAGTTGAATGTAAGAGCTAGAAGCACACAAGAGCAGATGGATTTGCACATGGAATAGAATATTCAATGCTGTGGGCAAGTAGATGTGTAAATTAGTGGCTGGCGGGTGATGAACTGTTCCACAGAATCAAAGAATGGTTGGGGTTGGAAGGGACCTCTGGAAATCTAATCCAAGCTCCTCGCTCAAGCAGTGTCACTTGGAGCACATTTCCCCAGAATCATGTCCAGAGTCTCTCTATGCATGGGAACTCCACATGTCCTCTCTGGGCAACCCGCTCCAGTGCTCGGTCACTCTTGCAGTAAAAAACGAAAGTTTCTCCTTGTGTTCAGACAGAACTTCCTGTGTTTGGTTTGTGCTCATTGCCTCTTGTCCTATTGCTAGGGCTGAATGGAGGGGTAGGATCCCTTCCCTCGATCTGCTGGTAGTGCTCTTCCTAGTGTGGCCCAGGATACCACCACTCTTCTTGGCCCAAGGGTACATTGTTGGCTCATGTTCAACTTGTGTTCCATAGGACCCCCAGGTCCTGCTCTCCAGAGCTGCTTTCCAGCAGGTCAGCCCCAGTCTGTACCAGTGCACAGCGTTGCTGCTCCCCAGATGCAGGACTCTGCACTTCCCTATACTGAACTCCATGAAGTTCCTCTCTGCCCATTCTCTGGAGCCCATTGAAGTCTCTTCCTCTGAAGAGCACTCGGGTTTATCAGCTGCTCAGCAAGCACTCAGGTTTATCAGCTGCTCCTGGCAATTTTGCATCATCAGGTCATTGATAAATAAGTTAATATTGGACCCAGTATTGACTCACTCAGGGAACACTAGAGGCCTCCAACTAGACTCTGCACTACTGATCACAACTCTCTGCCACTCATTCAGTTCTCAGTGCACCTCACTGCATGCTCATCTAGCCTTATCTCATCAACCTATGAGGAGGTTACAGGAGAGAGTGTCAAAAGCCTTCCTGAAGTCAAGGTAGCAGCCATACTTCTCCCCTTCCCATGCAGCTGGTCATTCAAATCACTTGCACCTTATGTGTGCTGAGTGTTCTGGGTGTCTGTGAATGCATCTGATGCTGCATATGGTGAGGAAGCTGATCAGATGCTCTTTCTACTGTCAAAATGAAAACAAAAAAGATGGTTATATATTCTCCTCCTTTTTAGCCTGGCACATGTTTTTGTGCCTGTGTACTTCCTTTATTTGCATTTTTAGGTAAACAAATATATGCAAGGAGATATGTGTTAACAGAAAGGAGGCGTAGCTCTTTTATCTTAATATGCGATGCTGTGTCATGCAGCCTCAGGGCCTTGGCTTGTTGGAAGCTGTGTGAGCAATCTGAGTGCTCAGGGTGACTAGTCCAGGTGTGAAAGTGGGACTTCTTTTTCTTTTTTTTTTTTTCCTTTTTTCCTCCTTCTAACTGTGAAAATGAAAACTTAGAGAAAAGAGTGAACAACCAAGCTGAAGCCTGAAAGGAAAAGTATGGAAAAATACCAAGAAGCGGAGCCTGGCTGCACAGCACAGTTCAGAACTTGTGCAGAACAGGGTTTTCTTGGGGACCAGGGTACTGATAGAAGGATTTGCCTTCACTCTTTGCATGTTGATCTGTCCCAGCAGCTGGTCTTAGCTTGAGATGAAATTTGCTTTGTTTGTGTCTCTGAATAACACTTGTGTTCTTGCCACAGTATCTCATGTGTGCAGATGTTAGGGCAAAGGGATTCTGTCCTGAGCTTCACTTAGATGGTGCTTGTGTTCAGATAAAACTGGGGCTTTGGGGAAATCTTGATTGCTTTCAAGCCAATCGGAGAAAAAAAAAAGTGTCTGAATAAAGTCAAAATTAGAAACGCATAGAAGCAAACTACTTTAACTAGCCTGTATGTGGGATATGGAGAAACCTTTACTATGACAGGATGAAGCAGTTGTAGCACTAACTGCGATACACCACATCTTTGCATGGAGTATGGAAAAGCATCATTTCTGAAGGACAGAATATCTGTGTGCAGACAGATTTTTTTCTTTTCAGCAGTCTTTTTAAGGAGGTTTTTGGTAAATATAATTCTTTTTTCTTCTCTTTTCCCCTCCTCTGCAGAGGCCCTAAGAACTCTGTGAGTGCTGATCCATACTTCAGGAGCCCAGGGGAACTCAGCAGGATGGCAGCTTCCAGACTCCCCATTCTTTTAGCAGTGGCATTTTCTTTGTCCTGCGTTCTTTCCCACTCACACAGGGAGATGTGGTTTCAGGAGCTTTTTCCACCTAACACATGTCCTATAAATGCCAAGCCCAACACTTTTTATGGCATAATGTTTGATGCAGGAAGCACTGGAACTCGGATTCACATTTACACCTTTGTGCAGAAGAGCCCAGGTAAGGCCCTGTGTGAGTCTATGTACCTGCGGTATGTTGACTTAAGCTTTGACTTCCCAAAAGAGAATTTTCTTGTGTGTCTACCCAGAATGTGGGAACACGTGAAGATTTTTACTCTCTGTCCTTAAAACGGACCTTTGGAAGATGACTCTTGTCTGTGGTGGGGTTTCATTGTGAAAATATCTTTCCTATACATCTTTGAAAACCCAGACATTTCATTCTGGGCATGAAGAATTCTGAATCTTCCATCTGTGCAGTTGTTTAAAGGAATATCTTGAAAGGGAGTTTACACTATCCTTTGTCAATCTGTATGTCAAGTTGTATTATAACAAGAGATATCTAAATTTTGCATATATTGTGCTTTGTAGCAAACTCAAATCACTAAATTAGAGCTGCAACCACTATGGTGTTGCTTCCTGGAAGAGAGCTCTTGTGTACCTGCAGCACACGCCAGCATGTCTGGGCATAATGCAGAGGTACCTTGGTTGTCTGCACATGTAACAGGATTCAAGAGAGAATTAGCTGGTTGTAATGGGCTGCAGCTAAGAAGCCCTTCTGGATAGCACAGTGCACCTGTGTGGCTTTCCTGAGTTTGGAAGAGCTCGTGCTACATCAGCTCTGATGGACTTAACCTGCCTCATGGTGTGCTGTATTTGGAGATGGGTCCCAGATTCAGACTGCCCTGGGAGCCGTGGTCACATTTATCTGGTTTTGCAGACAAGTGTCTGAGGAGAGTCAACTCTCTTCACCTCTCCTTGTAACTCTGAGCTAGATGAATCACCTAAAAATATTTGAGTTGACTGTATGTGTACTCAATTTCAGTTTTTCACAGTTTGACAGGTAGAAGTGTTAACAAGTTTTACTAAAATTAGGCAATGCTTATACTCTCTTGTTATAATTTATAGTTCACAAATGCAAAATGAACATATTTTTATCTATAACTTGATGTGTTATTAATAAATTAAGAATGTGTTCTTAATAAAGGAACAGTATTTGTTTTGAGAAGGAAATAGGATTGTTCGCTAAGGGAAATCAAGCATAGTCGCTCTACAGGGTTACAGGGGGTGTTTTTGAACCTGAGGAAGAAGACATGAATTGTTGGCAATTTCTTGTAAAATTTGATTTGTGCAGAAAAGCTTATAGAGCTGGAAGGGGAAATCTTTGAGTCTGTGAAGCCAGGTCTTTCTGCTTATGCTGATCAGCCTGAAAAGGTAAGGCTCTCCTTTGTTCCCTGTAAATTGATTTTTTTTCTCTTATGCTAGTGTCATTTGGACTCTCCCAAACAGTTTGAATATTACTAATTGTTGAGCAGATAGACAAGAAAAAAAGAGCTAAAGGTTCTCCTATTGCCTCTCTAAACTCATTGTATTACCTCTGTGAATTAATTTCTATGTGGTGAAATAAGAGCTGTTATTCTACACATTACACCAATAGACTGGTAACTCAAAATGCCTTATTCAGGCAGACAGAATTTCAAGGAATTTTTTTTTTTTGGCTCCAACAGCGTCCCATTTCAATACTTATTTCCCCTACAGCTAAACCCAAATATGAGTAAAGACATTTTTTAAAAAACTTAATTTTCATTTAGAAATAAGGATAACATAAAGAGTTTTTTTCTTTTTGGATTATGTGATGCTGCCAAAACATTCTTTTCTCTGACTCTAAAAAAAATAAGACCTTGTTGTGTATAGTCACTGTTAGTTAATTTTGGTTAAGAAATTAGAAGGAAGAGAATTGTTAAAATACACCGAACTGGTAAATTCAGTTCTTAATATTTCTGAAAGTCCATTTGCTGCCTCTATCATCAGACTTTTAATAACTTAATGTTTCAGTCATGCTCAGTTTATTATAGTGTTAGCTGAGCAATGATTTAGGTACAGACAATTACTCAATCTTCCAGTTGCTTGGGGTTTTCATTTTTGCTTATACATGGAGTTTTCAAAGCATAGGTTGACTGTTCCATTTTCCACAATTAGTTATTAATGTGTAATCTAAAATTGTAGCAAGAAACTAAGTAATGAAACTAAATGCATTTTTTTGAGTGGGGTGGTTGTGAATGCATGTGCAATATTCTTATTCACGTCACTCACCCCCTCTGGCTCCTGACTAATGGAGTGACGTGAATAAGGGCAGTCGCATTAGTCAGGAGCCAGAGGGGGTGAGTAGCAGGGCAGTCAGAGCTACAGCAATGCAGGGGCTAGTCCTCACACAAGCTGCCGTTTTCCAGGTCTCCTGTGCTGACAATAAGCTCTCGCACAAGCTAGAGGTGCTGCAGAAAGGATACAGTGGAGTCTGTATTTTGTGTTTCCTGGCCAGAAATTTCTCAAGAGAATATTTCATTGCTAATGCATTGCTAAAACTGCAATTGTTAGAGCAGTGTAATTGAGAGCCAAGCAGTGAGGCCTATACCCCAAGTGTTGCTGCTCCACAGCTGGCATTTAAATTATACTAATAGCTATGGACAAATTTGAAGCTGTTGTATTGCACTTAGTGAAATCCACAGACTTTTCCTCTGTGCTTTTTTTTTTTCCTCTGCAGCTTCAGTCAGTAATTGCCCCATTTAGTTTCATTGTACTGCAAAATGTCTATGTTTGTCATATAATCAGTTCCTTCTCCTCCTTCCATTCTTTCCAAAAATATTTTCCATGCATGGTGAGATTTCTGTCTCCTAAGATATATCTCAAAAAAACATCTATCCTTCCAATGCAGATAGCCCCTGTAAGGTTTTTCTGAAATGCCTCGTGCTGATAACTGACAGTTTTTTATACTTCCTGTGGGTGAGATACCTACTGTTATGGAATACAGATTTCACTAGTGTTAAAGATGAATGTGGAGGCTCATTTCTGTTTTCCTCCTGCAGGAGAAGGGGCGGGGGGGGGAATCACCACCAACAAAAAAACACTTCCCTTTCTTTTTAGGGTGCTGAATCTGTCAAAAGGTTGCTGGACATGGCTGTAGATGCTGTGCCACCTCATCTCTGGAAAAAAACACCTGTGGTGTTAAAAGCTACCGCTGGACTACGCTTACTGTCAGAGGAGAAAGCTCAGGCTCTGCTGTTAGAGGTAATATTAAGATCTCTCAAATGCGATAGTTGTTTCATGGTGGGAATGACATAGGATATTTGTTTCTTTTCTGGTGTCTGGAAGAGGAATTTTGTCTACCACAGTTTCCTGTCTCCTTTTCTTCTGCTGTGAAAAGGAAAACTTTCTCTGCGGCCATAGAGCAGAACAAGGCTCTAAGACTAAAGACTTCTTTTTTTTTTTTTTTTCTTTTCTTTCTTCAGGTAAGAGAAGTCTTTGAGGAATCACCATTTCTTGTTCCAGAGGATAGTGTGAGCATTTTGGATGGATCATATGAAGGTGAGTTTTAGGAAGAGGAGAAAGTGAAAGGGAGATTTTGATTATTTGGTCATTTGTTATACTGCAAATACAGATATAAAAAGTGGTTTGTGTTAGTTAAGTGATACACTATCATCCAAAGTGTAGAGTATCATACCAGAAAGGAACCTCATTCCTTGGCTGCCTTAGAAAAAAGTATGCAGGCTAAACAGTTAAAGCCTGTTTGAGGGCACTGGTGGGAATAAAGCTGGTGTAGTAGTTCTGAAAAGCTCTGAAAGGCTACTCACTGTTGTATAGCAAGCCAGGAGGCTTATGAGAAGTGCTTAAAAAATTTTGCGAAGATAGCATAAAGATAGTTTAACAAATAATTATGCTTAGCTCATCAATTTTCAGGTAAGCTTGAAGACTCTGTGAATCAAGGAATAAGGATAATTTCAAAGTATTTTTACAAAAAAAAAAAAAAAGCTAGACAGGTAATTAAAAAAAGCTTGGAGAAATGCAGCTAGTAAAGTAGTCAAGGAAGTAACCTGAAACCTGAAATACAAGCAAAAGTGAAATATACTGTAGGATGGGAGTGACTGGTGATTTATAGATGATTTTGCAGTACAGAATAGATCAGTTTGCATATCCAGAAATTTTATATTAGAGAATAGGCAGGTAATAGTCCTTCCATATGGCTCTGATAAGAGCCATCTGTGATGGCTCCATTCTGAACAATTTGTTATGGCAGATATATTGCCAGTTTAGAGGGTGCTCGGGAAGAGAACAAAAAAAATCTATCAGGAAGCTTAAACTACTACTACATGGAGTAAAGAGAGAGAGAGAAGAGCCAAATCTGTCTCTATGAGCAAAGAGAAAAGAAAGAGAAACATGAAGTATGCCATTATTTGGTGGAGCACTCTGCAATGCATAGTATTTCATTAGGATTAACAGGTGAATTGTGAAGCAGGGAGGAGTGTTGTGTTGACAGGCCACAGGACCAGTGAGATATAACAGGGCACAGTGTAACCTGCCAAGATATATTTAAAAATACAGTCGCTGCTGCTGCTGCATGTTCTCCTATGTTTGGGTGCTAATCATGCTAACATAAAGCAAGTCACGGGAGTCGAAGATGAGCTGTTCAAGTTTTACTGGCTGCCACCATGTTCTTAGTGTAACTACACAAACTGCAACATTAAAATACAGAGCAGTATGGATACAATTTTCAGATTAGCAATGGAAATGCCAAAGGAAAATTGTGCTCATTACTTTTTTGTATACTGTTCGGATTTTAGAACCGATTTTTGTGCATGTTACAGTTGCATAGATATTGCAAACTTACCTGTACCAGTTTATGAGTTTTTAACAAGTCAGTAATAGCTCATATCACTTAATTAAAAGCTTGCATGAATTTATGAAGCAATCGTGCTGTTACACTGCCTTAGTTATGGCTTTCAGGTAAATAAATCAGGAGTCGATGGGAAGTGAGAGTGGAGAGGAGGCCATAGGACTATTTGGTGGTGACTTTATTTCTTCTTTTTTCACTTTTTGCAGGAATTTTAGCCTGGATCACTGTGAACTTCCTGACAGGTAGTTAATTCTGTATGACTGCTCTCTAAGTATGATCCAAGTTTCCTCTTCAGAAGCGGTTGCCCTAAGTTCCTCTGCCTTGCTTGCTGTGCTTTCCCTTTCCTCCTCACTGGCAACAAGGCTAATACAGTAGATTCTCTGGGGCAGACCAGGTCTTAGAGGCTGAGCCACATCTCTAGTAAGAAGCGGGAGTCCTGATCCAGAAGCTTCAGGACTGGGAGGCAGAGCTGCTCTGACAACTGATTTCTCCAGCTTGTTGGCCCAATGGTGCTGCTAATCTGTTAAGAGGCGGGAGACAGGAAGGAAGGTGTTCCTCATCCCAGTGTGAACTGTGGAACAGAAGAAGAGGGAATGTGCTGGTACTTTAACTCTACTGGCCCTAAGTTTCAAGAATGCAGTCCAGCACAGGGAAGAGAAAAAGTTGGTACTTTGGAAGAAACAGGAGCAAGCAAAAAAGCTGCTCTGGCTGAAGAGAAAATGTTAAATAGCTGCTTCTGCTCTCCCTGCTGTTCCTGTCCTACTGCTCTTGACCAGCAGCATGGTGGTTACAGGTTTCATGTGCCCTCCTTAAGTTTTCTACGGGAGATGCTTTATCTTGTACCTTACTTTTGCTGGATACCTAGAGACTTATCTGCTTTTGTCTCTGAAGAGCTGAAGCTGGTAGCAAAGAAACAGGTCCTGTGAATTTCTTTTTTTTTTTTTTTTCCTTTCTTTCTTAAACCTTTGCCATTTTCTTCTGTTCTATGTGGATAGATTTTATTTTGGTGTCCCTCCCAGGGCACAGCTTTGTTTGTTTTGTATTTTTCTTTCTTTGTGGAAAATGGATATGCATGCAGTCTCCACATCAGCGTTTGATCACTTGAGGCTGTTCTGAGCATTATGTGGTTTGCAGGGCAGCTGTCTGGCCAGAACCAGCACACTGTTGGGACTCTGGACTTGGGAGGAGCCTCAACCCAAATCACATTCCTTCCACGGTTTGAGGTGAGGAGGAGATGCAAGGGTGTGGGCTGGGGCTGCCAGGCCTGTGGGCACCGGTGTGACCTGCGTTCTCCTTTTGTCACTGCTGGCCCTGGCATCGCAGGCTGACACCTGGCTGTAATGGCCAGGTCTCCTCGCAGACAAAGGAGCCTGAGGAAGGGGAGAGATTAATATTTTTTTTTTTTTTTTTTGGACCCAGACAGGGAAAGCCCTGTTAATATGGATACGCATTTAGTATGAGATAAATGTAGAACACTTCCAGCAAGTATACTTGCATATTACAAGAAACATAGGGTCTGTTCTCCCTTTGTCCCCCCAAGTCTGATATCTGCTCCTCACTAAATGTTGGTGGGGGGGTTCTTATAGAGCAATCGTCTCTATAGTAGCACCTGCAAGCTCTGTTTTCTCAATTTTCATGTTCTGTGACAAATCCCCACTCTGCCCCTATTTTCATCTCTGCTGGATTTGTCAGAAGCTCCCTAACTCTTCAGGATTAGTTTGAGCCTAGACACAAGCCTGAAGTTTGCATAGGAAAATCAGATGGATATTGAACAGTAGAAGCACACTGTATTATTCTGTACCTTGATGTGATCTGTGAAGTTGTTTGTGTCCCTCTTGCATTTTCTGAATATCTCCTGTCTTCAACAAATTTTGTTTACAGGAACTGAAATGTCTTGAATAGTGTTTATGGACCACAAAACAGATGTTTTTCATATCAAAATATTTTAATTTTGCAAGGGTCAGTCATGTTGAAACATGACATGCAACCCTACCCTGTTCAGGGAAGCTCAAGTGCCGCCCTCTGCATTGTGTTGATAACACCTGCTGAAGTGGGCAGTGGACCAGCAGGAAGGCGTGTTGCATGTCAGGGGTTTAGAGAATAAGTAGAGCTGTGAAGTAGTCAGGGCTGCAGCTTGGGATTCAGATTTCTCCTGGAGCTTTGCTGTAAATGGCCTGGAGGGTTTCCTGAGGCCACGACCAGTGGTGCCAATCAGTAGAGCAGTGTGCGGGAAGGGTCCGCAGTTGCCCGCTTGTGCACTGTGCCTCCTTCTCACAGGCTCACCCGAGAAAGTGCCTGTGCAGCTCAGTATGTTTTTGAAGGATAAAAAAGGAAAAAACTCAGAATTGGTGAGGATTTTCTCAATTGTTTTGCAAAAAAAAAAATCTTCCTCCTGTATTTTGAACCATTTGCATTTTAGCTCTTACGCTCTTTTTGAACAAGATTACAAGCACACAGGGGGGCACATAATGGTAACTGCATGAAACTGTTGTTAAAATAGTCTTGTGTTTTTTTTGTGGTGATATTAACAAAGTTTTAAGAAATGAAACTTTCATTTAAGAAATGAATAGTGCTCATAGCACAATAGCGGGGGCTCCCTGTGAAAGTGGAGTAGCACATTCAGGTATCCTCAATTAGAAGATATCTTCATCCTGATCTTTGTTTCACTTCCTCGTTATATAATGTAGTAACACAAAGATGCATATAAATAAATTCTGGTAAATGCTTTGCAAATACTTCAGTGGTGATGGACAAAACTGTTCTTTTCGCTCAAAGCAGATTAGATGAGTGTGCAATAAACTCTGTGAGTATGTCTGTGATATTACATCAAAGTATCTTTTTTCATAACTGACACTAAAAGATTTTTCTTTTTTTTTAACTTATTTTTAGGAAACCTTGAAGCAAACCCCTGCGGATTTTCTTACCTCATTTGAAATGTTTAATAGCACCTACAAGCTCTATACCCACAGGTAAGGGGCAAAAGACTACAGTTCCTCCCAGGAATATTAGTATTTCTGCAGCCTGTGAGATAACCACAAATGTGCTGTGTCATCCTGCTACCAGCTGTTGGGACCATAACTTTTTAACTAGATTTCTTATCTGCTTGAAACAGTTGACCTGGAACGTGGCATTAGTTGACTGCAAAGGTTCCAGGATCACAGTTAGTCACTGAGAGGGAATGTCGGTCAAATGAAGAGGAAGCTTTTAATTCATTATCTTTAAGGAGAGGTGTTTTTTTTGTACTGGCTTCAGCCCATATTTTACAGACCAAACAGAAAGGTGGATATTATGCCCAGCAGTCAGAACTAAACCTAATCAGAGACTTTTTTCCTCCTTGGTTCTTAGTTCCAAATGTCCTATTTCACAAGCAACTGGGTTAAAAAAATTAACAAATCCAGATCAATTAAACAAATAAATCTGCAACTAATACGGACTGTGGAGCACAACAGATTATTGAACCAGTTTGGGGGATATTTGATATGCATTAATGCAATTTTGCTTATTTAGCTAAGCTAACAAGTATGCTAGAAATCTACAGTTATATCCAGAGGGTTTACTTGCAGAATACAGACCTTGAAATGAAAAGCCAAGTGGCTTTTAGCAGCCATGTAATGGCTTTCTTATAGATACCGTTGACAGTGCTACCGCATAGTGAGCACAGTGGTGTGCTGTAAAGCTATAGGTGGATTTTTGATGAAGGTTCAGTGCACTCTGCCCCCATCTCATCACACACACACGCACGCACACAGATTTAGCAGGAGTTTTTCAGCAGTTCTATTAGTTTTACCTTAAGACCTTGTAGTCTTGTTTGTGTGATGTAGAAGCGGGCACCCCATCCTCCATGGACTCCTCACATGCCTTTCTTTCTCTTTTGTATTTAAAACTACTGTGCGTTTTTTTACTTTTCAAGAAAAACTTCGTAGAAATGTCACATAACCTCTAACTTCTTTCTGCAGTTTCGCATTTGGCCATTTAACGTGCTATGTAAGTCTTGGGTTTGGGTCATTCTTTTTGTACTTAGAATTATTCTGGCAAAATAAACTATCAAATAGAAAGGGGAGATTAGTAGAAAGCAGAGAAAGGCAATTCGATTTGGGTGTTTCACAATTTAAGAAAAGGCTATGAGTAGAGCTTATTAGAGGCACAAGAACTAAAAACGTCATGTTTTGTTTTGTTGTTTGCAGTTATTTGGGTTTTGGACTAAAAGCTGCCAGACTAGCAACACTTGGAGCTTTGGATACAAAAGGTACATTAAAATGATAAAACACTGAAGATTTTTGAAGCAATGAAGAGACTTAACCTATGCAACAGCCCATTTCTAGTCACTTCACTTCTGTGCTTCATGCTTCTCTGTTTTCCCAAATATAGACCTGTCCAGAAACTAAGACTACCACTTGTTAAGGATAGCAGAATGCAGTGGATTATAGGACCTAAGGGATTCCTCCCTTCTTCGCGGCTTCCCGCAAAGCTACACGTTTTCCCTGTTTCCAGGTCCAGTCAGCAGTGAGACTGAGCACAAATTCCGAGAGGCGTGTGCATGAATATACAAACATGGCCAGCTACAAGCACTCACACAGCTGTGCAGGCATCTGCATAAACACGGGCAGCACGAATAGATCCTGCTCCTAAGGATGACTGCGGAGTACAAACCCCTTTGCAGGTGTCTGGTTAGTCCCATGGGCCCCCTCAGACTTCCCATTGTACTTGCTGACTAGCCTGGCTTGATGTTAACTAGTTTATTACTCACTCAGCTGATGTGCATACTCATGTTCACAGATCTTTCCAGTTACTGCTGTGGAACTTAACTCTTTCCAGTATCCATGCCGAGGCCCGGGTGACTTGTCTAGTCTCTGGCCAGGTGCTAGGTTCTTTCCAGATTCTGGCTTGTTACTTGCCAGTTAGTCTGACTTATTTATGCTACTGAAACAGTTGACACTCACTCCAAAACTAGCTGGGAATAGGGTTTTTTACAAGAAGATAGGACAGACTGCGCTGATAAGAAATATGCCTCAGGCAGACAAGAATTACTAACCAGCAACTGCCTTATATGCAATTGGTCCTTTTATTTTGCCCTCCACTCCATTTTGCAACGCTTGCTCCACGCTGATGTGCTTTGATTCCTCCCTTTTCCTGCCTTTGTCCTTAGGCTAAACATCCCATAGTTTCCCTTGGCACCCTTGCACAGTCCTCTTCCAGCGTTGCCAACTAGCCTTTTCTTAGGCCTGTGCTGGCCCTCTTAATTTAGTTCTTACTTTGTTACAAAACTTCTGGTTGAATCAGAAAGGCTACACTTAATGGTTCCTTTATTGGCCTTTGAGGAGTTTTGGTCCTTACTGTCTTAGTCATCTGCTGTTTGTTAAAATTTGTGTATTTGTATGGGTTTTTTTTTGTTGTTGTTTGTTTATTTTTGTCTTCTGTGTGGAACAGCAATTAGCCAGATATCCTTCTACCGTTTATCTCATTAACAAATTACAAGTCCAATGCTCTGCAGCTTGCAAGACAGAGAGGGCACAATTTTTCTAGACCAAGACTGCTTCTTAATCCATGACTTGGTATTCATCAACTTAGATTTCCTCAACTTTTGCTTCAGGACCTTTGAGCCTGTTCTCATTCTGCATATTGATCAAGAGTTATGTTAAATTTGATTCTTACTCCCTTCTGGTTTCATTCCAGCTGCAGATGGACAAACGTTCCGCAGTTCTTGTTTGCCAAGGCAGCTGGAGGCAGAGTGGCACTTCGGAGGAGTGAAATACCGGTACGGAGGCAACATAGAAGGTAAGCAAGGGAGACTTGTTGCTCCTTTTAAGATAAGTCTCATCTCCAGAGTCTTGGCAAACACCTCACATTTGCTTTGGGTTTGAGGGATGCCTGTTTAGTCATACATATGGACTTCAATGTGGAATTCTTTTGACAGAGCCAAAACAAATTCTGGAATGATAAAAATAGCTGCTTGCGCTGGCTCTGGTCTCTGGTCTCTTACTGCGAGTGCTTTCTTTATAGGAAGTGTTGGTTACTTGTGCGAATAGGATAGTACTTTCTGAGGCTGTGTTCTTGGCTACAGTAACTGGTGGGCCAAAGAGTTTCTCACTTGAGGAACTATTTATTAACTTCTTTCTGTCCTTAATGCTGCACACACAATATGAATTTGCTACCATGAGCAACTAGAGCAGACTCCCTTTCGTTACTGACCTTGCTTTGCTTTACACTGGGGAACAGGAGAGCTGAGTTGCAGATTACATGTGGAGTGGATTGTAAAATTAAAATGTGATGGTGATGGAAAGTAGAGTTTTATTTAGTAGGTGATAGTAAGTAAAAATGAAGTTCTGCTGACCACAAAATACAACAGTGGGAGCCTTGCCTTATATGGAGGGAGCTTGTTGTGTATCTGCATTGATCTGCTCACTGTACCTTTCAGCTCTTACTATGATCTGCTCTAGTACCGTATAGTGATGGTGATGCAGGGTCCTTATTGCATCTAAGACCCATGCTGGACTGCAGAAAGGAAAACAAAGCTCTTTTCATCTCTTCTGATTCTTTACTTTCTGCTGCTTTGTTTTTTAGTGCTATTGTCGCTGATTTTTGCTGATACTCTTTCTTTGGCTTACCCTGTTTAATTTACCGCTGTCTGTGTTTGAACTGATAGGAGAAACGGGATTCAAGCCTTGCTACTTGGAAGTACTCAAGATTGTTAAAGGGAAGCTGCACCAACCAGATGAGATTCGGGGAAGCTCCTTCTATGCCTTCTCCTATTACTATGATCGAGCTGTTGACACCAACCTGATTGGTAAATTGGCTTGGGATAATCTACTGTGTGTGAGCACGTCTACCAGAAGGTAGATGGAGCAACCCTGGAGACTGAATCCATGGGGAGCAGGAAAAGGGAAGGTATTCAGCAAGAGGAAATGTCCAGGACACCTTTAGGAGAACGATATGTATCCTTCTGTGCAGTTTGTTGCTCAGAGCTCAGCAGTGTACTCTGAGCTCCAGTTATACTTGGTAGTTTTGTCATCTGTAACCATCAGACCTCCCACCTTCACTGGTTTTTATTCAAGGATCAATTTAAAATTTAGAACTCAAATGTTTTCAGATTTATGACGGTGTTTTCCTCACCTCTTCTCTTTTAGATTATGAAGAAGGAGGAGTTCTGGAAGTGAGAGATTTTGAAATAAAAGCCAAAGAAGGTAATCTAGGAGATCTAGGAAGTTGGAGAGAAGGAGAACTCTGTAAAAATATGAATATCTGTGCAGTGCATAATATTTAACATAATCTATAATTATAAAAACCACTTATGTCCCTCTCCGGTCACCAATCTTTATTAGACAACATCTGTAACTACTGTAGGAGGCAGTATTGAAGAACAGAAACACAGTGAGGGTAACAAGAAGTGCTCGCTACTTCGCGTTTCTGTTCAGGAAGGAATTTCAGTTTCTTTGGTGCTGACAGTTATGCACTTCATTTTCTATATTATAATCAAAGTTATCTGCCAAACTACAAGCCTCTGAATTTAGAAAACTGACTTTTGTTAAACTTAAATTTTGTCTCTTTATTTTTAATCCTTAACCAAATGGGTGGGGGGAGAGAGAGAGAGAGAAAGAGAACAAGAGTGCAGGCTGCTTACAAATGGCTTCTGCATCCCTTCCTTACTCCCCTGGCCCTCATTTACTAAATATTTGTTCTAGTTTTGTACCTTCTCCTGAGAAAAGAGCAGCTCCCATCTTCCTGAAACTTGAATTTAGTATTTACCAAGCTAGTGGGATTTTTGAAGTTGTCTATCCAAAACTGAGTACTGTGCTCCTGATTGATAGCTAAAAGTTTAGCTTAAAGAGCAGTCTCTACCTTTGAAGTCTGATTATCCTGATGATGATTTGTAAGCAATATTTGTCATCAAAATATACTTAGTTATGTTCAGGGCTGAGCTTTTCTTTGAGGTTGGTTCAAATGTATAATTTAGACAAAAGTTCTTTTATTTTGCTGAGATTTTTAGTTTTATTCTTTTTTCTTCTTTTTAGTCTGTGATAACATGGAGAGATACAGCTCAGCCAGTCCGTTCCTGTGCATGGATCTCACTTACATCACTGCTTTACTAAAAGAAGGTTTTGGATTTAGGGACAGCACACTCCTGCAGGTGAGAAAAACAGTTAAACCCCAAAGCCGGCTTCCCACTTTCTCTGTGAACCAAGGTGCTCTAGTTCATTTTTCAGGTTAACTAGCTACTGAGGTTTTTCAGGGTTGTTGCATGTAACTGCTGTGATCTGTGGCAACCTGTGGATCTCGAGAACTGCTGGAAATGACTGACTCACTTTTCTCTTACAGTTAACAAAGAAAGTGAACAACATAGAAACCAGCTGGACTTTGGGTGCTACTTTTCACCTACTGCAGACTCTGGGGATAACCTACTGAGCTGTGACACTCCTGTGGACTTTAGTACTTCTGAAAGGCTGAGAAAGCAAATTGAAATCTCCAGGTACATTGCCTAGCTGGAGTCAGTCATAGATGAGAATATGGACCAAAGCTGTAGAACCAATCTTCATCCAGAATTGGCATCTTGCACAATGAGAGCTGCCATGGTCTGATTTATAATTCTGATTGCCATAAGTGATCCAGAAGCTGCCTTCTGAAAGTCAAAAGGCCTGACTTCTCTCAGAGGATCTTAAAGTTGATTGTATGCAAGGGGCTCTGAGATGACTTTCACCAGCACATTTGCCTAGGCACCCATTGCTAACCCCGTGCCTGGCATGCGGTTGTAGGCTAGAGACATTTGATTTCTCTCCCTCTCCCTTTTGTTTGAAATGCACAGAACTGAAATTTGATCATGAAACCTTAAATATAGAATTAAAGAAGGCATCAACAGTCCTTCAGAGAAATGTGAGCTTCGCTGGATGCTGCGCCAGCCTTAAGAGTTCCAAGTACCTGGCTATTAGCTTAACTAACCCATTGCAAGAACGTGCCAGACGTTGAAGGAATCTCCTACAAACACTCCTTGGGCATGGATTTGGGAAAGGTGTTGGGTAACTTCACAAGCATTTGTTTAGGCAGCAGTAGTGGGTTAAGCAGAATGTGTGTTCCTGCTGTTCTCATTTCTCCCTTTGTGCTGCCCATTAACTACAGAAAACTGCGCGGGCATACAGTACCTCTGAGCACTGAGCTGGTGACGGGATCCATTTCCCGTGTCCTGAAAGCACACATTTGTGCTGGCACAGGAGAGCAATGCCAGATATGTGAACTGCTGCCAGAAGAAGTGCTCGTCCCGTTATACCCACAGGGAAATTAAGGGTGCAGGCAGATGAAAAGGCTGATGTAATGGCTTACTTTGCCATGAGGCAGTTTTGTTTCACTTCACAGCAAGGTGCTCCCACAGCCTCCTTTCCTGGGACTTGTGCTCCTAAGGCCCTCTGGGGAATTCGCAACAAAACTTGAGTTAATTCCCTTCACCAAAGGGTCAGGAGCAGCATTAGGGGAAGAGGCACTGCACGGCCTGGACAACCTTCTGCAGCAGGGGGCTGTTAAAACACTGCAGCCAGCGGGTCTGAATACACTCCGAGGTGGTGTTTTCCCAGGGGGAAGCCTGGCCTCATCCCTTCCTGCGCTCTTCTTAGGATATGCAGCTGTGCAGAAAGAGAAGGTATCTTTTCACTTGCTTAATCAATGAGAAGAGGGAGTGAGATGAACTAATACCAGAAACAGCAAAGGAGAACAAAACCAGAAATGGCTGTTTTCATATTAATGTTTGAAACTTCAGTCCCTTAATCTGTTTTACTCTGTAAAGTTAACTTGTAATTTCCCTTTAGCATAGCAGAAGGGAACCCATAACAAGATTAGGTGACAGTGTGTGGAGAAAAGCTGACTGGACCATGCACACTATGTACCTATTTTTAATACCTACAGGAAGGCTGTAGAAACAGGGCATCTGAGGTAGGGGTTGCAGCTGTTTAGCGTCTTGCTCAAGCCCAGGACTTCTGGCAGGATAGGATAAACCTATTTAGGTAATATTTTAAAGTGACCTTTTCCATCTGTTTTAAAGCATAGGAAAAATAAAGCAGTGAGAACAGAGTTTTAAATAAAGCATCTTGTCAAATAGGATTCCGATTTCTCTCTGGCTGTGGAGAACAGCATGACCTCTAGAATACCTGGAGGTTCCAAATCCGTTGTCCTGACTGGGAACACCTGTTGAGACAACTGTTCTACTCCACGAAGTAGTTGGCTGCTAGCTCAGCAGCTTGCTTATATTGAATTAAAAAAAAAAAAAAGTAAATTCTACTAAACATGAAATATACAACTAAAAGATGAATTTGCCCCAATCTTGAGAGCACTAAAGCTGTTACTGCCCATATGACTAAGGGAAGTTTTAATTCACAGGTATCTTGTAAAGAACATCTTGTTCCTTTTAGTGCAAATGCCTAAGATGTACCCTGTAAAGTACCTTTCTCATTTTTGTGAAACTCAAGGCTACCCAATCACTAGCTTCACTGCAAGCTGGATTTGAAAACTACTAAGTTGCCTTAGTGTAAATGCTAGTCCATTTCTTGGAGTAAGCAGTGCCATTTTTATGTGGTTTATTAAACTACCCTCCTTCTATTTCCTTTTTTATAGGGCTAAAGGGCAGCATGTGTGTTTTGAAGTTCAGTCAGCAACAGATTTCAAGGGGAAGGGATGCAGCTACCTGCACTTGTCCCACCTCTGACATCTTGCTGCAAATTCAGGTTCTTTCTTTGACTTACTAAGTAAGCATCCTACCTTTTTTTCTTCCTTACCAGAGTCTGTCTTGAGGTTCATGCTGGTAATTGCCTCTGTGCCGCTCCAGACTTCTGTCCTCCTCACTAGGAGCTTCTATTTACAAACCCAACGGCAGCAGTTGTGCGGCTGCCCTGGAGGCTGGCCTCTCTGCAACCACAAGCTTTCCCATTGCTCTGCCTGGTGTTCAGCAAAGTTTAGTATAGGGTCTGCTCTACACAGCAAGGTTCCTGCCAAAGTATCCATTTTGGCTTGAGTAGACAATTTTATTTTTTATTTTATTTTTCCAGAGAATACAGGTAGGATGCAGTAGTCAACAGCAAAGCTCTGTTACTCCTGAGAACTGTTTAAGTTAATAATCCAAAAGCCTTTCAGTCTGAGCCAGTGCTATGACACATTCTCGCACTTGATCTTGTGGGCTAAAAACCATGCAATGAGAGGTGCAAGTGGAGCAGGAAGGAAAGGCTGTAAGGGACAAGCAGCAGAGTTGTATCTGCCACCTGCATCTACACTAGCCCGGAAGAATACTTAAGGGTTTGGTTTTGGTGGAGGGGAGGATGGACTAGAACAAGACATGCAGCATATGTTTCTTTTCTGTCTTCTTCACCTCACACTCTGGAATTGCAAATTCGAGGTGGGAGCAGCTGCTTTCCTGTACCAAAGTTGCATCAAATGTGAGTGCTCAAGGCCTTCACGTGTCAGTGGCACATTCAGGCACTAAAGCAAAACTGCTGCTATCAATGAGGGGCCTTAACTGCAGTTAGAGGAAAAGAAAAACTCAAGTTGAAGTTGCAAGAAACTGTAGAATTGAGCCCCTCCTGTTTACATCTGAATTACCCATGGCGGTTTGAGGATCTAGAGAAGCCAGTCAAGTCCTCACACTTACCTAGGGCAGTGAGATTATTTATTATCTTAACTAAAGACTAAGCAGCTCTGTAAGAGAAGCGTTCCACCTGCCTTTTTTTTTCCTCCCCCCTTAATCTCCTTTTCCATAAGGTCTTTTAGCCAGTCACTGACAGGAGCTTCTTAATGTGAGTGACTGAATAAACACAGGAAAGGCTTTCAGTCCCAACTTCCTATTTAATTATTTTTTGTAATGTTAATTCTTGATCCTGGCTAGCTCTTCACCTAAACTTTGCTCAGTAGCATTACTTAAAGTTGTGCAAGTCAAATGTCTACCACAGAAGGCTGGTGTTTGAAACCTAAGACAGAATGTCTCGAATGTCTATTTTAGTAATTAAAACATTTTTAACAATACTCAAGATGTGGTGAAGTTTTCTTTCCTAATGTTATTGTTGGCTTGCCTCTCCTTCATAGGATTGGAGAACCCTTAAGGCCAGCCCCTTCCACAAAAAACACTTTATTTAATAATAGAAAGTACAAAGAATGGAGGAGGGAAGAGAGTACAAGAAACAGACAGATTATATACATATGTACATATATATTTTTTTAAAGGGATGTCTTGAGTTGACTCTCTTCTGCTATAAACTGTCCCCCCTTTCCCATTCCAGGAAGTGGTTAAGAACACAGCAGTGATATTAACAGCTTCAGCCCTCATGATGGGGAAACACTGAACACAGCTAAGCAGCAAAAGCTGCAGCTGGCAATAGAAAGCTCCCACCCAGCACTGCGTATGTTAAAAGATGAGATAAACTGCTCTTTCCTCTTCAGCCTTCAATGCAAAAGGCCTAAGTTAAAAGCATCCGTAGAGAGGGTTCAGTAGCTGGAAACATTACGGTGCCTTAGGTGGAAAACCCACATCCTCTTGAGAAAAGCAAGCAGAGGAGACAAATTCTGTATAAACTCGCAGATGGTGCAAAACACAGCTCAATTCTCACTTTTATTGTTAAATAAAAAATAACACCCTTCAAAGATTAAAGTTGCTTATAGTCCTTGGAGAGGTAATGCAGTCACTGACAAACTGCAGTTTCAAAATGACAAGAGATCATTTACTGGCAAAAGCCATGATTTGCTCCTAAAAAGGGGAGGAAAAAGAAAGTATAAGTAGGTAATAAACATACTCTAGAAAGCATCTCTAGTCTCTTTCCCATATGGATAAGACTTCTTTCTCAGCCTTTTTAGTCATGTGCAGAGTAACTCTCCCTCTATAGTAGTAAAGAAGCCACAGCATTGGCCACAGCATTCCTCTGTTTCAAGAGCAGCAACAAACCCGAAGGTTGCTACGAGGCTCAGTGCTCCCAGCAGTTGCTGCTTTGAGCAAAAAAAAAAAAAAACAAACAAAAAAAAAACAAAAAACAAAAAAAAAACACAGAAAATAAGCCCTGAGCCCTGCAGCAGCAGCCCCAGAGTACTGCTCTCCTTCAGTGCACCCATGACAGCCACCTTTCCAGGGGTAGCTCTGAGGAAATCACTGCTCTTCCATTCACCTTGTGTGTTACTGTGACCTGACTCCAAGAAAACATACCAGCTGCATCTAAGATGAGCAACATTTGATGGGGGGAATAAAAGTCAGATCCAGAACTGAGGAGTCTTACTTGAGGGTGCCTACACATTCTGAGAGCAGGTGGCTTCACAAATATTGCGAAATCACAGCAATTTGGTAAAAGCTGTGTGGAAATTAGGCAGCAAAGCTGCAAACAGGAAAAAAGAATTTGTGTTCATGATTGAACCTCCTTGCTATGGCTTTCCCCTGGTAACCTTCATGAGACTGGCACTGCAGCCAGCAGAGAACAATTTAGCAAGACAAACAGCAAAGAAGCAGATCAAGCTTGGAGCTGGTGTGCAGCTCCAATCAGTGTCTTCACTGTTTTCCATGGAATTGCTTTTCCACAGTGCATTTCTGGAATGCACTTCAAGGATTCAAATTGTCACTTCTAATGAGAAACTACCTCTCCTTAAAACAGTTGAAGTTTGTGCCTTAATGTGGACAGAGAAGAACAGGCCATTTCTAATCCCTGTTTTTTGTGAACACTAATTAATGGAGTAAGGCTCTCTCCCTTTCTCCTGCTAAAGTGTTTCTACAGCATACAAATAAATGCCTTACGAGCCAGAAAGAGGGGAGGTAAAAAGAAAATTCACTGTCAACTGGGATGCAGAGAATAGACACTCCAATCCCAAGCCTGTCCCTGTACTGTACTGTAGGAGAAACCCCTAACAATCCAGCCACCAGTTATTTAGGAATTCCTTAGGCTCATGCTAGACACAAAACCTCCGTTTGAACAAGATAACAATCTACAACCAAAATGTTTCATTAAAAAAAAAATCCTCATCAGTTTGTGGAAATTTAAAGTATAATTTTGACATTTTTTGTATGGCCCTCACTGCCGTCAGACTCCTACCTTGAGAGGAGGCAGCGCGTTGGTCGCTTGCAGCCCCCACGTCCTCAGCAGCACCACAGGAGCCAGCGTTGTGGAGTAGAGCCGCTTCAGCACGTCAGTCACGGCCATCAAAGAGACGTTGTGCCTCTGGCGTGCTGTCTCAAATTGCAATAGATGTTTTAGGGAGCCTGGAAAAGATATGTACCCATATTGAAATTAAACTGCCACAAACAATGGTGCATCTTATCTATATCGCAGTCTCCACAGACATCTGAAACACAGAGAATAGATAAATGGTTCATCTTAGTAAAGACGTCACTCAGCTAGCTACCTTCATCTCATCTCTTGGCCATCCAGCAGAACTAATTTTTCCTTTTAGCAGCTTTGACATTTTGGGGGTGGACACTGCATGCAAGAATCTAAGCGTCCGCAACCAGTGGAGATCAGTTTTGTTTCAAAGGTGCCTGTGCCACTCAAACACAAGGGAGCAGCTTATCCACCGTATGGCTCAGACACAAACAACCTCACCCTGATGGCAGCAGCAAATGCCTGGAAGACTAATGATCACTAACCATCTTGCTGGTGCTAGGCCCTCTTGGATCCTTACCCAGGTCTTTGCCGTCAAAGGCTGCTGCGCTGAGGTGCTGTGTTAAACACGCAACATCACCAAAGCCCAGGTTCACACCTTGTCCTGCAAGTGGGTGGACTCTGTGTGCTGCATCCCTAGAGCAAGACAAGAGAAATTTATATCCCTTCTTGCAGAAAGCCAGAATGGTCCCTGATTTCCTTTGCTGACAAGCTCCAGAGGGGATGGGTAGAGCGCTTCCCCCCGCTGTGCAATGAGCAGCACCTTACAGCACTGAATACACTTTCTTATCCAGCATCTGCACATTGAAACTGTGTCTCTAGTTGTAGGAAACCAGATCAGGCATGGGACAGGCCTTGATATTTTTGTAAGTGACACTGTCACAACATGAAGAACATCATGAGCCTATTTCATAAACACAAATGAGCAGACATCATCAACACAAGCGAGAAATAGGGCATCGATGGAAAGATTCTGTCACGTGCAGGCTAATGGGCAAAGGACAAGGCCAGACTCACTGACGAGGGATTTCAGGTCAGAGAAACAAGCTAAAATTTGAGCATAAAGCATAAGAACATGCTCTTGTCCATTAACAAGGCATGAAGCAGAGGCTAACAAGGTGGTATCTGACATACACGATGACATCCAATGGTTGCTGTAAGCTACCAGTGGAGCACAGTGATGGGACCTAAAAAAAAAAAAAAAAAAGCGCATGCAACCTTAGAGTAAAAAAGATGAGCTATTTTCCCTTCTCTGTAGACCACTGCACAAGAGCCCATGACATTCCATCAGGAATAATCTGTAAGTTTTGTCCTTTGTGTTAAAGAAAAGTGAAAACTCCAACTGGTACAGAAAATGGCTGCTTTGTTGTTTGGGGAAACAGAGTTTCATCACAAGATACCGGATTATTCTGCTGGACTGAACCATCCAGAAAAGGAAAATTACTACCTCCCAGTTTACATCAAAAGCACGCAAGGGACTGATAGCTATAACAGGACTTTGTTCACACAAGGAAATTATACGAACTGGTCCTGGATAATGTCAAACTGAAATCAGGAATGTTTGTCTAACTACCTGATGTGTTAAATGGGAAAGGAACCAAAAGTGGCAGCAGCACCAGACGTGCTCTACTAACGCCTGCACCGCTCGCTCGCGCGAAGGCTCCGGGGGACCTTACCCGATGAGGGCCACACGGTGCTGCACATACTGCGTCGCGTGCCCCACTCCAAGAGGAAACAGAGCTCGGCTTTCGGGATCTACTTTGGCAACGCTTGGGGGCAGCTGGCGGACGGCAGTGCCCGAAGGCCTCAGGACTGAAACAGCAGATCGAAACATGGCCCCAGCAGCGTCAATGAAATCAGTATGGTTTATGTTGCTCCACTGAAGCCAAAGAAATAAAGCTTTAGATATTGTCCCAAACTGGACATACAGAAGAATCTGAGCTAGCTCCAAATACTGAACATCAACCACTCAGACAAAACTAGATATGAGAATATACTGTCTTCTACTGTGACTTTTGGAACTAGCTTAATTCAATTATAAAGGATCGTCCTTTCTTTGCTGAGTGCCTTTCCAATATCACCCTCTCCATAGGAAGGAACTTGAGAATCCACCTCTCCCACTGCAGTTTTTTTACACTGTGGGATTCCATCGTATTTCTCGTAATTGCAGCAAAGTTGGTCTCATATTTACCACAAGGCTGATACTCACAAAGGCCGAGTTGATGCTGTCAACAAAACGTTCCTCATCCATAGCGAGGAGTTCTGAGGCATGTTCGTGTGATGTAGACCAAACCAGAGAGCTGGCAGTGTCAGAGAGCTAGTGAAGAAAACCTCAAGGGTCAGGATCCAGAGAAAAGGAAACAAAATCCCCACCCAACACAAGAACTTCTCCAATCCTCTACCCCCATCAATCCACCTGCACATCACTTTTCCAGCCCACATTGCTACAACTGGGAAACACCACGGACAAAATGAGATGGCAGGGGCGAAATCAAAAGTTATAAATGAAAAGTATAAGGTAAACTCTTAAAGGACAGAACCAACGTAGCAAGGTACACACAGAAGCAAAGGACTAAAAAAGACCAGACTAAAAAGTAAGAAATGCAGAGGTCACTAGGTATCTTACCGGGAGAAGCGCAATTGGCCCTGTGGGAAGGAACCTCTGCCAAGCTACGTTATTGTCTGTGGCCTAGAGCAGGAAGAAGCAAGGAGACGGGTAAGAACTCATGATTAGGTGTCCCCTCTTTAGGCTCTTGTGCTGCTCAGGAAAGAGCCGGTTTGCAGAATCTCGCCTCAGACAAGTGAAGAGTGGCCACCACAGCTGACTGGTCGTACTGATGCTCCATGTTCAGAATTTCAGCTTCCTTCCGGACCATGGAGTTATGGCCGTCTGCACCAATCTGCAAAACAAAGATACAAGGCAGCTTCACCAGCTGCTCCTAAGAAAGCCAGGGTTCCACCCCAGAAGTCTCTCTCTGCATGCAGACATATTTTTGTTTATTTAAAAGAAAAAAAGACTCTTCCAAGCACATAAAACATGGCCTTTCCTACTCTTGTCCCATTCAGTACAGTCTTTTTCCCCCAGTTCCAGAGAATGTGAGGCGCTGTGTATCTCTGAGCACCCCTGACAGGGCCAGCCACTCACCCCACTTAAACCCTCCATGCAGCTGGAGCAGCACACACAGAACTAGAACCAAATCCAGTGGAGAGGACTTGGGCAACAGATGGTGCCTGATCAAGAGAAATAAAACGTTTAGTTACCAGCAGCTTCGTCTGAAGTCTGCGGCCATCAGCTAACTCGATTTGGACCCAGGGGCTCGTGTCACAGCCATGCTGGGGAAGGGGCCAGGTGTAGCCCACTGCTCTGCTCCTGTAGAAAACCTCCACCCGCTCTGAAGGGAACACAAAGCACCACAGTCACGGCACGATACAGACATAAATAAAGAACATATCACAGCCAAAGGAAAGGGCTAGCTGTGTCTTCAAGGCAGGCTAATAGATTAAAATTCCCAGGACATCCAAAAATATTATCTGGCCAACCTCACACCCCTGCAAAGACTAGGCTGGATGGAGAACTGAGAACTGCACATCTTTTTGTTACGCCTGCGTTTTGTGAGACAACGTTCTGGAGACACTCACAGGCCACACAGCTCGAACACAGTCCCAGAAGACAGATCCCTCCTCCCACCATTCAAGAAACTGCCTGGGTCTCAGTTACTTGTTACACGGATTTTCTTTCCTCCTGTTGTCACTTGGCATCAGTGCAAGGGACGTCACGGAAAGCTCTGCAGGAACTTAGGTATTAAAGAGTTTGTCCATCACCTGCTACCACCTCCAGCTGTTTTGTGAGCGCAGCCATAATGACATCGTTCTCCACTATGTAACCCATGTCCTCCAAGTTGTCCCTCTCAAAGCTGATCATGGCTTCCGAACAAGCATCCCACACCTATGAATTAAAAATACAACACAGTACATAAAGCTATAAGGTAAACAACAGTTGCTATTTTAGGACTTTCAATTAATTCATCATAACAACATAAGGAAGCAGGCAAGCCAGAGAAAAATGTCTCAAACTACTGCCCATTTCCAGCTGTTTAAGCACATCACATAATTCCTTTCGTAAATGATCTATCATCTATCCCAAAAACTCATTGCAAAAACAAAAGAAAGTCTTTCATCTTTGGTACTTCCTGAAGTAGGAAGTACGGATGTAAAGATAACCCTACTTTTACTCCCAAAACACGCTTTATTTATGTTTTTCCTGATTAGTTCCCCTGCCTCAATATCTGCAGTTTCCACTGGGAATCAACCTTTCAGCCTCTAACACCCACACTTTGAGAACATGCATTTCTGAGAAGGCTGCCCCTGCGCCAAAAGCAACAGGAGTCATTAGCAGCGCAACCTGCCTTTGCCAAAGTAATGAACTTTGGATCATTAGTCTAAGCATTGCTAAGAATTCAAAATTAGCCGGACACATAGCATATTTGTAGCTGTAATTAGGGCACCTGCATTCGTCGAAATGATTTGAATCTCAGGCTGCAGACATGATCCCAGGCACCAAAACCTGAAAAAGAAAGGTGAGAAGTGCATGGGGATAGAGGCACACAGGCGACAGAGACCTCCCAAAACCTGATGTTCGCTTTGAGCTCTCTCCCGGGTACCAGCAGTAACTTCTTGCTGGGACTCCACAACTGTCTAGCTCTGCCTGGATATGTTTACAGCTCCAGCATCACATTGTTTTGCTGTTAATGCAAAAGCCGTGGAAAAGCCAAGCCAGGTTTCCAGGAGTTACCGCTGCGACGTGTGCGGTCAGTCCTCACTGCTCCAGCAGCTAGTAGTAAAACAGAAGGGCAAATTCATGGCAATACCCTTGTTCTGAACTTTCCCTTCTCCATAAGGGATCAATGTTCAAATGTGCCTTCGAAAAGACAACCCACCAGGAAAAGGGAGCTCCTTCAGAACACTGAGGATGTGGAAAACACAAACCCATGTTGTGAACAGTGCGTTTGAGGTGTGAAGGAGAGCAGCTTGGGACCTTAGGCCTGGTGTCACAGACTTATGTAACAAACATATCAGAATGCGGATACCTGCTCACTAAACAAGCCTCAAACAATTCTCTCAATTCAGCACATAATGCTAATAGAAAATATAAAATAATTGGGGTACATTTAGGATGAAGGCAGGCCTCAAAGGGGCCAGATGTAAACAAGTTAAAACCAGTTCAAACTGGCAGATAAAGACGCAGAAGGAAGCAGCAGCTGTACTTACTGCCCAGGAGCGCTGCGGAGCCGGGCGAGATGGAGCTCACCCTGTTGCTGTACGCAGCCGGCAAGCGGCCGGGCTCCTTCCTGGCTCCAGCCTCCAGTAGAGCAATTCTCTTATCGCGGAAATGGATATCGTGCCCTAGAAGGAACAAGGACCCGCTTTAGTGCCACACTCCCCCGCAGGGCCCCGCTTTCGCCCCGCTTGCACCGAGCCGCACAGCGCGTTTCCGCGGAGAGCCCGCGCAGCAGGGCCCGAGCCGCCCTTACCCAGCGCGGCGGCCATGGCGCTGCCCACCAGCCCGCCGCCCGACACCACCACGTCG